TTGTTTCTAGTAGCTCCTGCAGGCTCACATTAACTTAGAATCAAAGTTTATATAGACCTAGTTGTGTGAGTTAGGTAATCCTATTTGAACTCAATTTGTTAATGAGCTCATGAGTCGAAGTTATTGAGCCATGAGTTCGAGTTTCAGTTCAAGCTTAAATTCAAGCTTATGCATTATATAAGCTTAAGCTTGGCCCGATCAACCCATCAACTTATTAAACTTGCTCAATTAATATATATTAACACACATTTACATATTTTAGTATATTCTTAGGAACACAATTTTTGTCAAAGATAGAGATTCCAATGTCATCATAATGACACTCACTTCATTCACTTATCATTGCATCACCTAATCTTGGTTTGAGTTTTCTACTACCCTTAATTTTATAAGCTTCAAGATCTTAAGTGAAACTAATCTGTTAATCTCTAGTTTGGCCTCATCATTGAGATTGCCCTTTACTTAAATTAAAGCCATCAAATCCATGAAATTTCAATCAATTTATATCATTGTCCCTTCACTTTCCATGATTTATAATTTGCTATATGATAGGAAATACTCAAAGTGAATTTCTTTGACTGAATTTGAATTTCAACAAACCCCAAATAGTAAAGAGAGACAAGATTAAGGTAGAAACACAAAAAAAAAACATTTTAATTGATGGTAGGAAGAAGAAAACAAGCAAAATACAATGGATTTTTTATTTGAGAGGAAGATCCGGCTATCTCAAACCCTAGCATTCCACTATAGTCCCTCTTTCTCCTTAGGAAAACAAAACTCAGTAGAACATTCAATAATCCAAACCCTAGAAAACAATTCCCCTAAAAACATGCAATAATTCCTCCTAATTCCAAAACAGCCTCTCCTTTTAAAATTTGCCTCCTAGACACTCTTTAATTTCTCGTTAATATGGCTAATGGACCCCACCCCAAACGGGCTGCATTGGCTGGGCCGAAATCTGTTCCGCCTCTGGTAAAATAAGGTCGGTCCAGGATGGACCGGCTGGACCAGTTGAGGAGCCGGTCTAACACTAAATTAGAATTTACTTTGCTACTCCAAATGCTCCTAAAGGGGCCCAACCTAGAAGAAGAGATGAAGCTGAAGAAGTCAATAAACTTGGTGGTGCAGAGCACTCACACCAAATTCTACTATAATCACTGCATCAAAATCTTTGTTAATCTCTGCATTCTCAAGAACTGGACCATCACCAAATGGATCAAGCCATTCAACAACTGAGGGAAGAATAACATACAGAGTTTCAAAGCATTCATGGGTTTATAATATATAGACAGCAATCTGTTGGCTAATTGTTTAAAGGATGAGATGGAATATAAAGAGCTGAACAATTTAAACCTCTCCTGTGTACTAATCTGTCAGATTGTCTTTGCATTACTTGCTGCTTATGCTTCCTCTTAACTTAGGCTTCGTATGGAACAACTTTTTTTTCCGCTTCTTAAAATAGCTTTTTAATAAAAAGCTGTTTTAAGAAGCAATAAGAAAGCTGTCTCAAACGAAACCTTATTGGTACACCAAATACATGTTTTATTGCTTTCAAAATCTAGCACTTAAATTAGATATAAGTTCTACAAAAGCACTTCAGAACACCAATTAAAAAACGCCCGTTACAAATACTCAGATGCAATCAAAATAGAACTTGAACATAATTTATGAAATTAATATTCAAAGTTGCCACTAAACAGATAGGCTAATAAGCAACGCAAAATTAAAACATTAAAAATAAATTTATTGAAGATTTTCAACAGTTCCAAATCCAAGATAACATATACCCTTCTTTTTTCATGACACATAGAGGCAATCTAACCATTTCTGCAAGCAACCAAAACATGCTTTCTGCAGCGCTCAAAAATGCTATCATACAAAAGATCAAACTGAACTCCTGCTCTCTCCCGATTTATAATAAAAAATATGTGATCAGCTTCGATAACTTTGTAATACCTGCAAAAATAAGTTCACATATGATGTAGGCTTAATTAGGATGGACAAAAACGACTTTCATTAATGTTCGAGTGACTGTTGAAAGGACTGATATTACAGTCATCGAAATAATATTCAAGCCATAATTTCTTATTTTGTTTTCAATTTTCATTTCAAATTTGGATTTCTATCCATGAAATTCTAACCCACCGATGATGATTTCAAAGAACACTAACAAAATATGACAAATAATGTAATAGATGCGAAGCCAAAGCGGTCACATTCCTCCAGTTCAGATGAAAGCATTTTGAACTGGCTCCCAAATTTGGTTGCTTGGAGTTAGAAAACAAACTTTAAGACAATATGAAATCTGATAGATCCATTTTTTTTAGTTGGATATGATTTGAAATCAACCTTAAGCTTCAAAAACCTTCTCAAAATCACCACAAATAAAAATAATTTCACTATCACACAAAAAAGAGTGAAAATAAATCATCATTTCCTTCCACACATTAGATGTAACAGCATAAAAAAGGAAGCACTTGACAATTTCTTACAATGGAAAATACATTTAGATTCATGAGAAGAAAAGGAAAATCAATGTAGATGCTCATAGAAATCCAATAAGTACATTACACTAGAAGGTGGACGAAAAGGCAAGGAGACATAGCAAGAACTGCAACAAGAATTTTTTAGCGGAGAGCAACTAACTATACATTTTCAAGCTAAAGTGCATCAAGTCATGATCATTATAATGATGGATAATGCATAGAGAATGGCCACTAACCATATCCCGGGCTGCAAAGGATGACACTTT